TAACAACTCTATGAAGTCTTACACTTACATGACAGAAAAAAAGCTTCAAAGAAAGGATGCCAAGAACAGAGAGGTTTTCACTGAAGACCTTGCAGCTGACCAGCTGGTATTGAAACTCTCTGATTTGAAAACCCATCCCCTATCTGCCTTACCACATTGTCTCTCCTAAGAGCCGAGAATATGCAATGTGTTTCTGTATGGTACATTTTCGACGGGGGTCTGGTGTGTGACCTTGTGGCCCAGGGATCTCTGAGCTGAAAACTGTGCAATTGCAGTAGTCCCCTGTTCTCTGTGGTTTTACTTTCTGAGGTCTTAGTTACCCACAGTCAACCCTGGTCCAGAGGCAAATGATTGTCCTTCTGACATACCACCCGAAGGTCACCGTAGCCCAGTGCTGCGTCCCGATCATCCCCCTCACTTCATCTCATCCTGTTGGCATTTCATCATCTCACATCATCACAAGAAGCAGAAAGGCAAGAGAGAGAGAGACCACTTTCACATAACGTCTATTACAGTATCATTGTTCTATTTATTAGTAGCTACTGTTTATCTCACTATGCCTAACTTATCGATTAAACTTTACCATAGGTGCGTATGTATAGGAAAAAGCCGAGTGTCTCTAGGGTTCTGCCCTCTCCTCGGTTTCTGGCATCTACCAGGCATCTTGGAATGTAACCCCCCCAGAGAAGGGGGACTGCTGTAATTCATTTACTCTGCATTTTCCCTGAAGACATAAAACATGTAAACAACAAAAATTGAAACCAGAAATATTTTGGTACTTGAGAATGTCTTTGACATTTAAACATGAACAATCTAGAAGAAGCGGCAGACAAGCAATAGACAAGGACAGTGCCATAGGATGAGCATGAGGACAGAGGGTGGGACAATCTGGAGAGGTGGCCCACCCAGTCTAAGCTAACAACTGTTTGAGGGAAGAGTAGTTTCCATGCTGATGTATTGCTGCAGACCCTGAACAGCTTCACCATGGGTGGCCATGCAGCAGCAGCCCTACCTCCCATATGCGCAGAAACCCTGGGCCCATACCAGCAGCCCACTCTGCATACCCAGGAATGGCAACCACGTCAGGTGCTGGTGAGACCAGTGAGGCCAGAAATTCAGAACCAAGCCTACAGGAGCAGCAGGCCAGTGAAAGAGCAACCTCAGGAACTGATCACAGCACAGCAGGATGGAGGTGGGCACGCGTGTCTGAGCTGTGCAAGCTGGTGCAGTTTATGTAGGAGAGACCCTTCCCCTGCTATGTGGGAAATCAGGCCAGAAAGTCCAGAAGCTTATGGAGGTTAACATAGGCCTACAATGTGAGTGATACCCGTTCTATGTGGCACATCCTAAACACCCTTACACAGTGACTCCAGACACACTGATCTCTTTGCTGTTCCTTAAACACAATGACCATGCCTCAGGGCCTTTGCATTTGCTTTCCTTCTTCCTGGAATGCTCTTCCCATGGAAGGTTCACTCCCACATTTCCTTCTTATCTCTGCTTATATGTCACCTCATAAGAAAGGCCTTTCCTGACCACTGGATAGAAAATAGCAAACCATGACCCCCACCTCCATCACCTCTCTTAGTCTGCTTTAGTTTTATCCATAGTCCCTGCCACTACCTGACATTTTTTTCTTTGCTTACTGTCACTTCCTGTAAGATTTGTTAGGACAGACTTTATTGTGTCCTCTGAAGTATCCCCGGTGTTTAGAAAATTGTCTGGCATGTGGTAGGTATGCAAAAATCATTAGCTGAATTAATGAATAAATATTATCTTTGTATCTCTTGCACACAGTGGCCCTGTAATAAGTTTGTATCGTGTGATATATATTATTATTGAATAAACTGATAGAGTTTCGACCTGATTCTCTTTATTAGAGTAATAGGATCTTAGGGGTTACCTGTTCCAGCCTCCTACCCAGGGCAGTAATGTCTCCCTCTCCCACATGCCTGACTTGCCGACTTCATCTCAGCACTGTGAAGGGCAGCTCACTAATTCACAAGGTGAATTGTTGTATTGCACCCCAATCAACTGTCCTTAGAACCCCACTGGGCATTCTTGAGCCTCTTCCACAAAATGTCAGCTCTCTCAGTGTAAGGAGCTTGCATGGCTCACAGAGCCCGGCACAGAGGGGTTGCGCCAACCCATGTTGTCGAAGGAATGAGACATCTCTGTATTTTGGAGGGTAAAAAATTAATTTTCCAATTTCAGCTTTCTTTAAAATGGGTACTAATTCCAATGCAGAAAAAATTTTGTAACCTCAATTTCCTTTGTAATGGGTCTAATACAGATGTAGCAATCATGAAAAGTACATGTTTTTACGTGTGTGTGTGTGTGTGTGTGTGTGTGTGTGTGTTTCAGCATTTTACATGTGTCATGTCAAGCACCGCAGGACTCTGAGTCCCTGAGCAGACACAGGCTTGGCAGGAAACAAAGCCAGTGTCTGGCATTGGGAAGGGACACAGGCTACCTACAGAACCCAATGCTTAGGCCTCTAGGTCTTCCCACCAGCATTCACTCCCATCTGTAAGGCTTCAGCCTGGAAAACACATTTCACCATTGTTACTCTGTTTCTAAAATCCTTCCATGGCTTTCCCTTATCAACTCCAGGCTAAAATCCAGACTTAGCCGAGCACACACGGCCTTTCTCAAAAGTCCAGTGTCTGCTCACCCGACACCCTCATCACCTGCCGTCCTTCTGTCCTGTTCTCCCCTGCTGTGACCAGCGAACCCCAGGGGGCCTGTCTCTGCACCTGTTCCTCCTCCTCAACCCCTCTCACCCACACTGCCCCCAAAACAGAATTGCTGTTGCTGACTCATGAAGGGAATCCCCAGTGGCTCTTTTCTCATCCTGTGCCAAGAACTCCCCTCCTCGATGTAGCATGGTTCACCTCGAATGGCTGTGAAACATGTCTCATCTCCAGCACCTCTCTCTGGCATTTGGAGATGTGCCAGTGCTTTCCTTATTTTCCCATGGTGCCTAGAAATGATGAAGAGACCAAGGGCCTCCTCTGTGTGTACCTTATGCTCCAGGCACCGTGCTAATGGCCTTGCATGCCTTTTCCCAGCTCTTCAAAGGAACCTTGCTAGATTGGAATTGTTCATGCCCATTTCCCAGATTAAGAAATGGAGGCTCAGCGAAGTGCAGCAGCTCAGCCAGAGCGCCAAACACAGCAACTGTCAGCCATGCTGGTCCACTTGTGCGCAAGACCCACGAACGTCCCCATGTAGTGCAGTGTCAGAGGCCCACACACGCTCCTCGGGAACAGCGTGTCGTGCTTGCGTCACGGAATCATATTTCTTATAGTCTTCCTTTTTGTATGTCTCTAAGTGGAATGAGTGTTAGAAATCTTTACTGAGAAGATGTTTATTTGCTGTATGCATATTCTAACACACGCACGCATGCACTCTACGTGACTTTGTAGTTCTTAATGAGCTGAGGTCCGGATTTGGTCATTCCGATCCTGGTCCACTTAGGATTCAGCTCAAGGAACAAATAACTCTTACGGCATAAATGCAAAATCTGGTTTTCCCCCAATAGACAAGCGGCATTTTGAAAGTGTCTTAAAACCCCAGATTTACCTGACGTTTCCTTCTGACTTTAAGCTCATCAGAAACTGATGGATGGTATTTCATTTTATTCCCAATGTGGTGAAGAAAATGGCGGTCCTCATGTATCATTTTATGGAAATATAATAGTCAAAGCCCCTAGAATATTCCCAGGTGATATCAAAGTGGGTTGAACAGCTCTTAAAAGTAGCTGGTAGTCTTAACAGTGCTTATTTTAAGCAGAAGAATGTTTCTCATGCATTAATGGAATCATTTATGATTTCCACATGTTTGGGGATCTTTTTTCTTTTATTATATTTGCTAAAAGGAATTTCCAGTTATTCTCCAAGAAGATCTTTTGTACGGATCTGTGCTTCTTGAGAAAAATATTTGTAAGTAATCTTAGGAGAGAAGGGCAAGGGACAGTGGCTGGGTTTATAAGATGCCGAAAGAGCAAAGAAAAAATGAACGAATTTCAGTGTGAACTTTGTTTGCATAAAATCACGTAGCTAAAATAGCAGCCTTTGGGAGAGAGTTTTCCCCTCCCCCAGAGACCCCTGCCTGGGAGTAGGTGCCCCCAGGGAGCAAAACCAAGGGGAGCCGAGTATTTCATCTTCAGGCTGGATGAATAGTAGAAAAACCAATTGTAATTGGATATTTGTAAGATATAAACTATGCATTGCTGACTTGCCAGTTCTTGGTTTTTTACTCTTAAAAAAAAAAAACCGCTCCCTATGTAATTCTGGCTTACTTCCAGAGTCTGTCTTCCTCACGGCGAGCCCAGATGAGCCGCCAAACCCCTGTGCTGTTTGAATTTGCGCAACAATGCTTTAATACCCAGAGCTCCTCCATAAATAGTCTATCCTCCCCACACTTAGGGTGAAAACAACCACAGGAAATCTGGGAACGTGCAGCTAGCCCCGCTTAATTGATCTAAGCCTCTGCCGGGGCCAACGGGAGAGCGTCCGTGAACACAGCCTCCGGGCCTTGCTGGACTGTTTACCTAAGGGGCAAAGAAGTCTGCACGCAGGAGACACCATGTTGCTTCTCCTGCCTTAGCAACAGCAGTCGCCGGATTTCTGTTGTTGTTTACGGTCTGCAGAGCCCTACTCCTTTAAGGAAACACAAACTCCTTTCCCTCCTTCCCGGCCCCAGTCAGTCACCATCAAGACCGTCAGCTGCCTGCAGTTACCAGGAGCAGCGGCTCTGGGAAACCCTCCTGCCTTTCTCGCAGAAGAAAAGTTAAAGGAGCACAGAGGGACGGTGGCGATTTGCATGCCAGTGGCCAGCTAGCATGCAGGGGCATCAGGCTATGATTCTGGTTTCTGTGCTGGGTGCAACCACCACCACAGCCTGGGAGGTTTCCCCCAGAAAGAGTGGACTTGCTGCAGACGTTTGTGGGTGTTGGTGAGCCGTAGCTACTCAGAGACGTTGTGCTGTCATTACAGACCCCCACGATGAAGATTCAGGAGCACCCGGGCGTACCTGACACCAAACTGCAGAGGACTCCAGATGCCGACGACCAGCGGGAGAGCTTCGTCTCCCAAGTGCCTGAGCTCGACCTGACTGCATTGTGTGATGACAAGAGCTGGGAAGGTAGGATCATCGGCTGTTTGGATGATTTCATATCGGAAAAGCGTATATAAAGTAGCCTAAATGAGAGGGGCGTCACCACACGGATGTATGAAAGCAAAGGGTGTAGGATCTGCATTCCTAAATGACTGCAGATCCTTTCCCTGGCATGGGAATGTGTCTCATTAAATGTTGCCAGGAGTCATTGCAATCTAAGAAAGAAAATGCGCTTGCCCTCTATCGTAGTGTCACCTTGCAGCCTTCTTTATTTCTTAACTCCCCAGGAGTGCCGCTACCTGTGTGTGTTTCCCCTCTGGTAGCACCGAGGACAGGACTGAGCAAGCCGTGCACATTTAGGACTTCGGCTGGGAGCACCTGCTCTTCCCGCTGCTACATGCCAACCCCCTGCCTCCTTCATTAAATCTCCCTCCCATTTTTTAAGAAAGATTCAGTTCGCTTTGCTTTTGTGATTGTCTTTATGGACAGAATTTTTTAAAAGCCATGTTAGCCAGCATAAGGGATTTGTCATCAAAGAGAACACTGTATAAAAAGTGCTTCCAATGGAAAGCCTGCAATAATGCAGTGTTGAAGGCTGGTTTTCCTAGAGATTTTTGGCAAAACGTTACAAATTGACTTGTGAGGAAGAAGAGGGTGTCCTCATCTTGTCAAAACTGCATTTCAGGAAGGTGCTGGCAATGGTGCTGTCAAGCCGCACTTCCTTCCTTATCCATGTGTCTGCATCCAGACCTGTGTCAACGTGTATCTAGAATGCACGCCCGGCTGCCTCTGTACGGTGCGTGTGTTTGGAGGCTACAAAGAGGGAGAAATTGTGTGCCTGGTTTCAGAATAGCAGCACGACTTAACACAGTGACACAGAGAATCACAGCTACAAGAAATCAGTCCTTTTCCGAAGCGCTTGGATTTCCTTGTGTTCTCCCTCACCCCTCTTTAAACCAGAAAGTACTTGTGATAGTGAGTTTAGATGAAGGAGCAAAAGACGATCTAAACAGACACAAGGTGAAAAATAGTAATCCCTCTATGCTCCTTGCACCCAGGGCTTGGTGCAGCAAAAATAAGCTGGGTTTTTTTGTTTGTTTGTTTTTGTTTTTTTAATTCTAGTTCTCCCTCTTTGCAATTCAAGAAACATGTTCTAGCCCTTTACCATGTAATTAGGCAGTTGGGTGGGAGATTTTCTCAGACCTTCCCAGCTCATGATATGGTCACTAGAAAAAAATTGCAGGGTGTTTGTTTTGTTTCCTTTTTAATTTCAGTGGTACATCCCTGGGTAGTGTTTTATTGTTCTTCTGTTGTTTTATGTACTTTGGGATATTCAGGTGTGTTTTAAATTCATTAAAAACAAATCCCCACCACCACCAAAAAAAGTCCCATAGTAGCTACTGTGGCCCAATAAATGAAAAAAGCAGTAGTCAAAACAAGTGCTGTATTTGGATTTCAGGAATAACGGTCTCCTCATATCAGTAACACAAAACTCTAGAAAACAACTAGGATTTTTGGACAGAATTCAAATTAGCCACATTATCTTGGTATATTCAGTAAAGGGGCAGGGAGACTCTTCTAGTCCCCCTGAAATGGACTCAGTTTGATGATTTTTATCTTGATCAGTCATAAATTTGTGATCTCTTCCAGCATATGTGAAGAGGCCAGTATGAAAATTCCCACCAGTGTGGTTGGAAGTTAACTTTCCTTAAAACTGTTTTATTACTTAATGTAAAGAACTCTCTTCTAAATAATAATAATAATAATAATAATAATTTGAAGGAACCAACTAGATGGAATTTTAAAAAGCTTAACGGGGAGGAAATACAATAGGCTTAGAAATGCTAATTATGTTATCTATGTAATTTATGAAAGGACTTGTGTTAACTTTTGCCAATTACTGCGTTACTGAGCTCGCATATCTTAAAAATCTACACAGATTCATTCCAAGGCCATTTTGATCATTTGGTTACTGCTTTCAGTAGCCCCTTTTTAACATATATTTATTTTAAACATTCATGGGATATTATTATAGTAAGTGTAGTCAAAATAAAGGAATTGTTGCATATAAAGGGTAGTTCAGATGAGAGCCATAAGTCCAATCACTAAAATACTACTCTTGTTTTATAGCCTCAATAAGAAACAAACAAGTTTAATGGTAGCTTCGCAGTAAGGAATCCACTTTGCACTAATTTAATCTGTGAAAGTGAAACCAAGTATATAAATGGAAGTAATAGTTGACTCAAACCTTCTGAGCCAGAATCTGTCTGTAAGTCTCCCTTACCAGTCTCCAAGCCCCAGTGTAGTGTTTGCTGGTCCGGTCCCCATCCCCACACCTCAGTTCACACTCTCGTATCCAGGCAGAGTCATAGAATGTCAGGTGCGATGGTCCTCAGTGAGCAGCCTGCTGGCGCTAGCCTCAGCCCTGGGTGCTCCTGTGTGGCAGTGACATTCTCTGGCTTCTGGGGCAGATTGTGTCAAGGCAACAAAAAAGGAAATGAACCCTATGATTAGATTCCATAGCCTACATAGAGTGGAATCCTGTCAAAGTAAACGTAGGATCAGAGTCTAATCATGCTGGTTGGCAGATACATAATACATGCTTTTTCTTTTTTTCTTTCTCTCTGTATGTAGCTATATATCAGGGCACATTTTTTGACCTATCCACATCGTATTATTATTTTATTACTGCCACTCTCCAAAATTAAATGAGTACACAAATCAAATGTACTTTTATTTGTTATGTAGAGCCCTTCAGAATTGCATAATTAGAATGTTCCTAATCAGCCAATTCATGTTGATTTGGAAGTATTTGTGGAAGTATTGAGGTTTAAGTACTCAGCTGTCCTGGTGAAGTTAAACTTAAAAGAACATTTTTTTTTTTTTTTAAAGGTTTTACTTATTTGACAGAGATCACAAGTAGGCAGAGAGGCAGGCAGAGAGAGATAGGGGAAAGCAGGCTCCCCGCTGAGCAGAGAGCCCGATGTGGGCCTCCATCCCAGGACCCTAGGATCATGACCTGAGCCAAAGGCAGAGGCTTTAACCCACTGAGCCACCCAGGTGCCCCAAAAGAACATTTTTAAAGGGCTAAAATACTTTATGCTTCTTATTTATTACTTGCTACTTGTCAAAAATAACCTTGAAAATTCTCTGAAAGAATGATGAAAAAGCAAGGGATCTTAAAGACCTTTTGACTGGATGCTGCCATTATACAGATAAAAAAGCTGAGGCCAAAAGAAGAAAAATGATGATTCAGGATAATGAAATCTCCTGACTTCCTCTCTGATGCCTCTTTCTCAGCAATGCCAGTTTTGTGTCCTGGCAAGCAGTGGGCCGTAATGGCTAAGACCAGGCACATCCTGGGGTCAAATCCCAGCTCTACTACTTTAGCAGCTTTGTGGACAAGTTAGTAAATGTGTTACAGTTTTGACCTCAGTTTCTCCATCTTTAAATAGGCATAACAGGGACACCTGGGTGGCTCAGTTGGTTGTGCATCTGCCTTCGGTTCAGATCATGATCTCAGGGTCCTGGGATCAAGTCCCACGTTGGGCTCCCTGCTTGGCTCGGAGTCTGCTTTTCCCTCTCACTCTGCCTCCTCCACCCTGCTCATGCTCTGTCTTTCTCAATAAATAAATATTTTTTTTAAATAAAAATAAATAGGCCTAACAACAGACAATAATGAGTAAACAGATATTATAGTATTCACTTAGTAAGCTTGTTGTAAGAATTAAGCGAGCTAGTATTTGCAAAGTGCTTGGCACAGTACAGGCACCTAACAGGCACTACATGAGTGTTAGTTGATGTTATTACTGTCTTCCATAAATGTTTCCAAGTGTAGTTTCAGGAAAAACCAGCCTAAGTTGGACTTCTTTGAAACCAGAGCCCAGATCTACCTAATGACAGTGGGTGGCTCTGAACACAGAGAAGGAGTCCATAATTACTGGGTCCTCCACTGCTGACCAAGGACAGATCTTACCAAACCAACCTCCGTGTGTGTGTGTGTGTGTGTGTGTGTGTGAGAGAGAGAGAAAGAGAGAGAGAGAGACTCTAGATTAGGAAATGTCTCATTCGAAAAAACCTCAGCTGGGCCTCTAACAGGGACTCCAGTGCCATGTCAGATTTGGAAGGAATAGCAGACAGGTAACAGAGTCAATTAGTAACTGATTAAGCAACAGTACTTAAGTGTGCAGATACACAGATCAAAGTTGACACAAATAGGGGTATTCTCATTAGGAAATTCCTCAGCTCTAGCCTGTTCCACACATTTTATTAATGACTTGAATGGAGCAATTAAGGACCCACTTATTAAATTTGCAAATAGAGACAAAGCAGATAGAAAGATTAAATTGGGATTGACAAAGTTGACAGCTAAGGTTTCTTCTAACTCTGAGAGTTTGTTTGCAAGATTAACTGAACAGTTTAATAGTACTACCACTGTTAAGTTTTGGAACACTAAGGAAATTTTATAGATTTTTTTAAAAAATTTGACAGAGATCACAAGTAGGCAAAGAGGCAGGCAGAGTGGTGGGGGCGGGGAGAAGCAGGCTCCCCACTGAGCAGAGATCCTGATGCAGGGCTTGATCCCAGGACCCTGAGATCATGACCTGAGCCAAAGACAGAGGCTTAACCCACTGAGCCACCCAGGTGCCCCAAGGAAATTTTTATAATAGGATTTCCCTCCCTATATGGGATTAACATCTTCCAGCGTCTGGGATATGCCCATTCCTCCTCGCACCACAGAGGATCCACCTTGAAAGACGGAGGTATGATGTTGTGCCAGGGCGTAATGACTCTAAATAGCATGTAGTTGGAAATGAGAAGTGGAAAACATCAGCTCCTGTAATTCTAGCAGGTTTCTTCAATAAATCATCTTAGTATCCAATTTTCTTTTGTATAGCAAATGGATCCAGCTGGCTAAGCAGAGAGTAGCTATGTCGCAGTGACCACATTAATATTACTCAGACTATGTTTCTTCTTCCTGCAATGAATTTCCTTTATTTCTGTGTGTACTACAGTGTCTCAGCTGGAACTTCCCAGGACCTATTCTTTTCTATCACTTAGGTAACATGGATATGGCTTTTATCTCTGTTACTTCTGACCTGCTGTGATGTCAGCTGTCCTGATGGATTAATTTTTCATAGAGAGACATGCCATATTTATGTCCAGCGTTCTTTGTGACAAGACACGTGGCTGAAATCACAGAACTTAAGGAATTCTGGTCTGGATATAAAAACGCATTTCTTTTATGTGGTGTTTTAAGATGAAAATCTAATTTGAAACCTCTAATCTTTTCTGTTTTCCCTTTGAATACTTTCCTTGCAATATATTTGTCCATTTCATTGCTCTAGAATTACTGATTAAAATATAAACTATTTTCCAGAGTAGGCACTGGGAGTGGTCAGTGAATGCATCCTCGAAACTGAATCCCTAGGTCGGCAGTGCAATTGGGCATCCTGTCCGGTAGACACTGCTCTATTCAGTTCTTCCTTTTTTGTCTAGTTGAGTGTCAACTATCAAAACATGAGATCATTTTTTTTTAGATCATTACAAACTAAAACGAAGAATAGTTGGCTTTTTTGATTTAGTTATATTGAACTATATATTATGTGTAATTTTATAAATTATAAGAGCCTTAAATTATAATTTGATAGAAAAAAAGGAAAGAGAGATCTTGCCATTTACAACAACATGGATGGGTCTAGAGGGTATTATGCTAAGTGAAATAAGTCAGACTGAGAAAGACAACTATCATGATTTTACTTACATGGAATTTAAGAAACAAACAAATGAACAAGGCAAAAAAAGAGACAAAAAATGGACTCTTACCTATAAGCTGGTGGTTGCCAGAGGGAGGGTGGGGGGGTGGATGATATAGATAAAGGAAGTAAGAGTGCACTAATCTTGATGAGCACTGAGTAATGCAAGGAATTCTTAAACATTATACACCTGAAACTAATATAACACTGTATATTAATTATATTTCAATAAAAAAGTAAATGAATTAATCCATGGAAACCGAGAGAGAGAGAGAGAGAGAAGAGAAAAATGCAAGCATTTTTGTTGTATGGGTGAGAAACTTCACTCCTGTTCTACATGCATACTAATGATGCAACATAACCTTTTACTTTGTTAATTGAAATTCATAATGGTTTACATTTGTCATTTTTTAGTGAATTCATTTATGCTAACTATATCCTTTAAGAGAAAATGTCACCCATAAGCTAGAATTCAGCTGCGTATTTCGTATATAGCACTGGTGATATTAAGAAAAGGGCATATTGGGTCTTCTTACCTATCATTCAAGTGAGCGGTGGGGAATGAGTCTGTGTTAATGCAAAGGAAATCTGATAAATGGCTCCACAAAGCATCTAACAAGCATAACTCAGTTTCATGATTAGTGTTGTATTGTTAATTCAGGATCACGGTACCTTTGTTAGTGGAGATCTGGTTGGAAAATGGTCACAGACACTCTCATTTTGTACACAGAGGACACATAACCAAAAACTGAAAGATCACTTGTGATATTTCTAAAGAGATATTCTGCTAGGTTCAGACAAATGAAAGGATTTCAGGATCTAAGGTAACACCTTTTCAAACTAAACTGTTATGAGTAGAAATGTCAAACTAGCCAGCACACCCACATGCCAATATCAACATCAGACTTTGCTTTGCCTGTGCCCTCTGTCCCCCTGCACACCACCTTGGCCTTCCCCGCCTTGTTTTGCTCCTTTGCCACTCTGCCCTGAGGTTATTGCTGGCTGCATCTTAACTCTTTCCCTGCCTGGCTCTGTTGATATTAGTCCTTACAGAAAATCACTGCTATCTTAAGAATTATCATGAAATTAAAGATACAGTCTGGCCAGTTTCATAGTTCCATTTTTCTGTAACTTAGCACTACACTTTTCTTATTTCTCTAGGGATTACTTTCCTCTTACCCTCTCCTTCCCTCACTTCTCATCAGTTTTTTGCTCTTTTATGCCAGTAGTTTGGAGCTGCTCATATCTGAGCCCTAGTGCTTATGAGGAGCCTTCTGCAAACTTTAGTGCAAATGAGGGTCAACTTCTGGGCACCTCCAGATTTAGCCAGATACATCTACCAGAATGTTCCCTGCCACTTTTTGAGAGTAGTGGGGAAAAAATCTGTCTTTAACAATGCTTTCATACTTTTTAAAATAATTTATATTACCATCTGAGCTCCCAGAGAACTTCATTCTCTTTAAATTATGAGAACCTATGGACCTCATTGCACATAAGGTCAATTTTTTCTTACATTAATATGCCTACCTCCCCTACTGTGGGGTCTTCAAAAATTTCAGATAATCATCCCTGTGATTGGGGCATCTGGCATGTACTAAATTGAAGCACTGTCCTTCAAGTCAGGAGATTTCATTTTTGTCCCAACTCTTGTCATTGATGAGATATTTGCTCTTAGAGTCTTCAGGTTTCAGTTTCCTTGTCTATAATCTGTTGGGTTGAATCTGTGATTCTTAAACTTGAATGCATATAGGATCACTTGGGCAGATTTTAAAGTACTGGAGGTGGGGAGGTTGATATTTAACATTGAACATTTAACTAATTTAACTCAATATTAGAATATTAATTATTAAGTATTAAATATTAATTAACATTTAAATAATTTCTGTTAGTTGAATAAGAGGTATTATGTTCGTGGAGGGGGACATTTATGGTGCTTTGGATTGTGTGGAAACTATGCATTTTCTGTTCAAATGCTCTTTTAATTTATTATGTTTAGAAAAAAATCAATTGACTTCAGTAATTCATCCTGCTTCAAGATTCAAACTGAGTAATGTAATACCATGTTGAATTTTAGCTGAAGAATTCTATGAGCATGTATGTTTCTGCTGTAAAAATGTAGTTACTATATGGCACTCAAGTACTATGTTAAATGATCCACTAACATTTTTGCTTGCCCCATGATTAGTGGAATGTATGTTATTGGGTAGGGTGAACTACAATTTCTTTCTAAGAACTAGATGAAGTACAACCATCCACTGACATCTGAATTTATACCTGTTGGATTCTGAGTGCACCCAAACACTCTATAAACCAGGTGAAGAAATTTAGCTCCCATGTTCTACTTCAGCTAAAACAGCTACATAAAACCTATTACACTTGAAGTCAGACAGATATTTCAGTTGCTTACCTCCAGTACTGAGCCTTGCTTTGGAAACTGAAAGATTTAGACCAAGTCACTGCCAGTTTTTTGCCTTCGTTGCATTTTGTACAGTTTTTATATTTTTGATATATTGTAAATAAAGACAACCAGCTTTTCCAGGTTCATAATTTATTGTACAAATTGAGTATCACACCTCAATATTCTGTTTAGTTGGCTGGGGTGGACGGGGGCTTTAGAAGTTATGTGTATCTCCTTTCATGATGCTAACGTGCAGCTGGAGTTGAGAAATCACTAAATTAGATAGTGAATGGAGTTTCAACCAGCTCTAATGTTCTATGATTATGATATGATCTTTTTAAATAAAATACTGAACAAGCACTTGTTTAAGACAGTTTAGTAGATCTGATAAATACTTTGATAGCTGAAGGAACGAGTGTTGCTCTAGGAATCCCAGAATTTCCAAGCATGGCCGGATCCCAGCCTTGTGTAAGTCACACTAATCCCTAAGTATACTTAAAGCCTACCTTCTATTTAAATTCAGGGACTGCTACAAATAAAAACCCTACATCATCTGAGATCTATCTTTCAAATCTGATAGGATTTTTTTTTAATGCATACTGAGTTGGATCTTGAAGGAAAAAGAAATAAATACTACCCCATTCCCTCCAAAAATGACAAATCGGGATGTTGCGTTGAGTGTATTTCTTTCTTTTTTTTTTTTTTAAGATTTTATTTATTTATTTGACAGACAGAGATCACAAGTAGGCAGAGAGGCAGTCAGAGAGAGAGGAGGAAGCAGGCTCCCTGCTGAGCAGAGAGCCCGATTTAGGGCTCTATCCCAGGACCCTGAGACCACGACCTGAGCCGGAGGAAGAGGCTTTAACTCACTGAGCCACCCAGGCGCCCCGAGTGTATTTTTTTCTTAAAGACTGTCTCAAATAATTTGTACAGACTTACCCTTTGTAAAGCATTCTTCTTTTTCTTTTTCTCTTTGACTAATTTATGTAAGCATCTTACGTTAACTGTAGTCTTGAGCAGCTTCTGAAATTTCAAGTGCAAAACACGCATCTTACGCATGCTAATCCCAGCACTAAGCAGAAGCACATGAACAGCTTACTGAAAGCCCTAAATGGAAGGTGCAGACTCCTAGGTAAATGGGCTCTCACAAGACGAATGTGGCTCCTCGGTTGTTCCAGTGAGGGACGTGCAGCTACGATGCCAAATGTCTCGCCCCCGGGCGCCCATGCTTTGCTTCTCCCTCATGCCCTCCCCTGGGAGAAAGTTCTTGTCCCTGACCAGGGAGGGAAGTTGGAAGCATGCAGTATTTGCTCTCCTTCTTTAAGGTCATTCCTCCAGGTGGCCCTAGTAACTTCTCTTTGGAAAGCAAGCAATGACTTGGCTGTCAGATATATTGGTGATGCCAGCCAGGGCGTAGTGTCCTTGATCAGAACCTTAAATCTGAAATGCGTATTGTTCACATTTCAATTCAGTGCCTCCTAAACCATTCAGAATGCTTGGGAAACAGTTATGCTTCCATGAGCAATTTTGACTTCTTCCCCTCTGTATTTTGCAGAGCCCATCCCTACCTTCTCATGGCAGCAGGAGAACGTGGACTCTGATGAAGCACGCCTCTCCCCGCAGGCCGGACGCCTGATTCGTCAGCTTCTGGATGAAGACAGTGACCCCATGCTCTCTCCTCGGTTCTACGCTTATGGGCAGAGCAGGCAATACCTGGATGACACGGAAGTGCCTCCTTCTCCCCCAAATTCCCATTCTTTCATGAGGTATGTTTTGTTGCTGCTAAGCCAGTGCATCATCGCCCTAACGTTAGGAAGAATGGGAATGGTGTTGCAGGTCTGCAGAAGGACATATTGGAAATACTCCATCCTAGGACACGGGCTCTGTTGCTCCGTTTTTCAGCTGGCCCGACTAGAGCGCCACATACTGCATCTCCACTAGCACTTCCTTTCCAGAGCTATCTAAAATTTAACTTTCAGTTCTGCAGTGCATATTTCAGTCGTCCCTTTGCTATTGTAAAGGTGAGCAAGAAAAACTTAGACCCATTGATAGGTGGGACCTAGAGAGCTCAGGGTCACGAAATGAACTGGTAGTACACTTCCTTTTATTGGAGAGGATGGAGACTCCCTTCCCTCCGTGCTGCATCCCCACCCCCAAGCCCCTATGCAGGCAATGAGCGCCCCACTCAATGTCCCTCACAGGCGCCGGAGCTCCTCTCTCGGGTCCTATGATGATGAGCGGGAGGACCTGACACCGGCCCAGCTCACGCGAAGGATTCAAAACCTTAAAAAGAAGATCCGAAAGTTCGAAGATAGATTTGAAGAGGAGAGGAAGTACAGAGTAAGTGTCTCCTTGCAGGGTTGTCCTGTCCCTTCCCATCCCCTCCTGTCCCCTGACAGTACCCACGTGACAGCATATCAGCAACTTGGAAAAGTGACAAAAAGTTAAGGGAGATTTCTAGACAGCCTCAAAACAAAAAGGTGATAAAAACTGAATAGTAAACCCTGAGAAGCCCCAGACGTCATACATCAGCATTTTCCTTGAATTGGGTATTCTTTCAAATGATTCGATGTTTTAGTTAACCTCTTATAAACTCTGCGAGAAGGAATGGGAAAGATCTTTAAATGACTCTTTATTTTGGCTAAAACTTAGTTCAAAATTATCTTCTAAAATTTCATCGGTACTGACCTCATTCTTCTCTCAGCATTGCCCACAAGAGTGGCAGAAAGGCAGTTTATGTGGTGATCCCAGCGTAAAACGTACCCCCTCTGCTTTCCATTCTGTTAGCCCAATAGCTTAAACCCTCTGACTCCTGAAACAGGACTATGGACTAAATAGAAGTACAGCATTTTGCCTGTGAGGAATTCTTTGAAAGCATCAAAAATAACCAAATGTAAAGAAAGATAATGGAATTACATTTATGATGTTTGTTCAGGATTGTTCATGATGAATTTTTTCCCAGTGGGACTTGACTTTCTCTTCCTCTTTAAAACGATCTGATCATGGGGCACCTGAGTGGCCCAGTTGCCTTTGGCTCAGGTCATGATCCCAGGGTTCTGGGATTGAGCCCCACGTTGGGCTCCCTGCCCGGTTCGTATACATTTACATTAGATTTTCCTTTTCTCAGCCTTCCCACAGTGACAAAGCAGCCAATCCAGAGGTTCTAAAATGGACAAATGACCTTGCCAAATTCCGGAAACAACTTAAAGGTAGGTAAAGTTGTAGATCTCTGCCATGGTTTTCACTTGCAGAATTCACGGTATCACTGCATCCTGAGTGCCACTGCTGAAATAGTTCAGAAAAGACAAATTCCTTGACGCTGCTTCCCAGCCTTCTTGGTTTTCAGAGCACACCTTCCCCATATCTCACCATGGTCTCCATCACAGGACAACCCGGGTCAGCTAAGATGCAAATTCTGCGGCATTTCCCCATTTACCTAAATCATGACTTTTTATTTGCTCTGGTGTTAGGAGAAGACCTGTAAGCATGGAAGAACATAAAAAGGATTGGGTCCTTGTCCCTCCAAAGCATGCTGTCTCTTAGAAGATAGTCATATAAACAACCACATGGAATACAAAGGGAAAATAATTCCAAAATGACATCTGTAAGTTGTCCAGAGAAAGCTGGCCAGAGTGAGGTGCTGGATCAGTCGGTGCTATTCAACAGTGAGGGAGTGGGTATAGAAACATCTACCACGTTCTGAGAACAGCAAACCTGTGGGTGTGGCCAAAGCATGGATGTTACATGGCTAAGGCTTTCTTAGGAACTCGGGTTAGGGAAGCACTCCAGATAGTCCAAGAAGATGTTAGCATTTTCTCAGGTTTTACGTAATAACCCAGGGATTTCAACTACTGTTATAATTAGATAGTTTCTAAAAAAAGATGGGACTACATGGTTACTAACACCACAGAAAAACAACTGAGGTTCAGCAGACATCAATTCTCATATGTCACCACCCCCAAATGTTTTCAAACTAGAGTCCAAACTAAAGATATCAGAAGAAGACCTAACCCCCAGGATGCGTCAGCGAAGCAACACACTGCCCAAGAGTTTCGGTTCCCAGCTTGAGAAAGAAGACGAGAAGAAGCAAGAGCTCATCGATAAAGCCATAAAGCCCAGCGTTGAGGCCACCCTGGAATCCATCCAGAGGAAGCTCCAGGAGAAGCGGGCAGAAAGCAGCCGTCCTGAGGACATTAAGGTGTGGGGATTCGGTGGAGGCCCCAAGCCAACTGCTAGTCAACATGGTGGAAACATGGGTCCCTGTGGGAAGAGGTTACACAGTGACGTCTGCTCAGACCTCCCACACCCTTGTCCCCCACACTTTTAGATGTCTAGAGAAGCAGATGGAGCAGCCCAAGAGTGTTTTCAGTGCTAGTACTTTGGTTTAGGACGACCCATTGAAAGCAGAACCCTCTCATATAGAGATTGCAGAAAGAAGCCGTTGGGGTTAACAGATGGTTTGATGGCTCTGGAGTAGAAGGGCTGTAGATGACCTTTTGGGACTGTGTACCTTGTGACTGTAGTCATCGCTTGGGCTGTTAAGCTAAGCCCCATGTGCCTGACAGCCTCGCTTACCTCAGCATGCCTTTGCTGCCACATGGGAGCCACAGGTAGTTGACGATGGCTCTGCTCTGCTCTCTCTGTTGCCAGCAGAAAGCCAGGAAGAGCTAATTCCTAAGTGAGCTTTGAATAGAGCTCAGAGGAACAACTGTAGGAAGATTCTTCTTAACCTTCCTTGAGGAAATTTGTTGACCGAAAGAAGCAGGAGTGTTCATAAATGTTTCCCCAACTTTGATTTCTCTCTCCTTGTGTTTATTCAGGATATGACCAAAGACCAGATTGCCAACGAGAAAGTGGCCCTGCAGAAAGCTCTGTTATATTACGAAAGCATTCATGGACGGCCGGTATGTGAATGGACTGGGTTTCCTGCTTGGGGCCAACTGTGTGGCTTTAGAAATGAACCTTCTATGTTCAGTATTTGATACATGAGTTTTCCTCATGTTTAGGAGATGACTTCCTATTTTCAGCAGACCTAAGATCTCTGAAGGCTAAACTGAGGAGAGATTTCCCCTGTTGAGCAGATGCTGAATTTGAGTTCCAAAGAAACACAAGTTTGCAGCTAACATGTAGTCACTAGTGTTCTGCTTCAGAGGGACAGTGGTGGAGGGGGGTGTAGGTTGTAGATGAGTACACAAAGCTCTAGAGACTTCTCTGTCCCTAGCTCTGCCCCCATAAGCTGTCACTGACTCGAGGCATTCTTGTCCCTAAAAATGAGGGTGTTAAACTAGTATGATTTGCCCAAAAATTCAATCTCACTTCAGTGTAGCCAAGGCCAGTGTTTATCTGTAGAGAAGTTCCAAACACCATCCTGAACCAGAAGTGTGAGGAATCCAAAATATGACTTTGCCTTTTCCTAGCGACAGGAAGCACTGAGAGCCATTTGTTATAAAGTGTGGTTATTGCGTGCTCTTCATTAGTCCTGGGGGAGACAGTGGCACAGTAGGCCTCTGCTCTATTCCTTAAGAAACTCATAATCAGATATCCTTGTCAGTTACTTTTGGTGACGTTCTGTGGAGAGTGCTGTCAAGAACCCAACAGAACACTTTCTTAAGAGCAGCTGTAAAGAAGCAGGAAGTTTATATTCCCAGAAGCATTTGTACACAGCCAAAATGAGGAGGTCTCTTCTCCAGTCCCAGCCCCGGCTATATAATGGAGATAGTATTTTCATGTAAAATATACTCTTTTGAATAAAGAAGCTTCCAGAATAATGCACCAGACTCTAAGATCTGTGAGGGCAGGAGTTCTGTGTCTTATTCCTCTAAAGGGGCGCCTGATGTCAGCATCTAGCACAAACACCTGACACCATGTGCCCAATAAACTGTGGAATGCATCGTCTGTGGTATTTTTGGTTCTGAATGTATCAGGTTAAAAAAAAAAACAAAAAACCCGTGGGGCTGCTGATGATTGATTTTACTGGCCTATCCCTAGAGTGGAAAAATACTGGTGCTCCAGGATAATGGTCATGTTTCAGGCCAAGTTTTGTTTTGGATTTTTTAAAGGCATTGAACCAAAGAGTAAATGCACTGGAGCTTAAACATATTGTGAAATTTGTCCTTTTCTCCTGGAGGATTCAAAATTTGGAGAAGTAGAACTGAACTTCTTCTAGCAGAGAGGAGCCCCTTCTCCACTGTTGGCTCAGAGCCTTTTAAGTGTAGATCTCCTTGTGGCCACCAGGCAGGTGGGGAAGGAGGAGGGGACTTGTACACTTTCCATCTCCAGCATTTCTTCTTTTCCTCATGTGGGTTCACCTACGACGTTGATAGACTTCTTTGCCTGAGGCCCCAAGATCTCTCAGCTGCTTCCTAGTCCCAAACTTTGGGGCTAGTTAGGGGGCTTGTATGCTGGGTGTCTGTTGCTCTGAGTTAAACACTGGTCCTCTCAATCTGCCTGGGCTGAGGGGATGTGCAGGGACTGGGATCAGCAGGCCGAGAGTCAGATCCCAGTCCTACTGAGCCAGCCCTGGAGCTCTAGGCTACTGAGGTAGGAGTCGAGTGCTCTGTCTGTACCGTAGCTGCCCCTCGTAGCTTGCCATGGATGGTTCAGACATGTGCAGACACATTTACCTGTGGGCTGTCTGGCACTGAGGAAGTGGGCTGAGTGGCTTAGCAGGTGGCTCAGGGGTTCCTCAGTCAGTAATGTTGTCATTTCTGCTACAAGTATATGTTCTGCTGTCTGCGGCCTTCTTCTTATTAAGTGATGGACTGAGGAGAGAGGACATACCCTGTTTTAGTGCTCTCATCGTTAGGAATATGAAATCTTAGTTCTTGGCCCTTCTCTGTTATTCGCTTTTCTCTCATCATTCTTTTAGATGTTGGAAGGAGACCGTTTTGGGTCTGAATACTAACATCTCATCGGGCAGGGAACAAGTGCTCTAGAACTTTGAGTGGCATTCGTTGCTGGTTCGTGGTCAGACTCTCTGCCTCCCTCTGGAACATGGTGCCCCAGCCTCCTCAGGAAAAACAGAGTTCATTTGATATCCGGCCAGTGTGAAAATCAAAGAGTAAACTTCTCATTCTTAGGTCTGTGGTATTGCCATGGACCCTGAACTGTAAATACCATTTGGGCAACACTCTTCCTAAAAGAAAAATACGTGGGTTTTCACAGCTAGCCTATCATTCCAAACCCCAGCGGGGTTTTTTGGTTTTTGTTTGTTTGTTTGTTTGTTTTTAGAAAAGCAGGTGCTCAAAGCCCATGGGCTTTTGCTGAGTCTACAGATTCTGATTTGAAGGGACAATGACTGACTGTCAGAATCACAGGCCAAAAACAGTTATGTGCTACTCTTGTACATTTTTAAAACAAGGCTGTTTGCTTTAACAGTACAGTCCACAGAGTGACACGTGAATGAGAAACAAAATACACTCAGTTACTCAAGGGCACATAAATCCCTACTAATTATTATGAAAGCATGTCCTTTCAAAACTTCAAGATCTCATCAGAAGACCGTGTCACAGAAAGTACAACACATAACTGCAGGTCACTGTGGTACACATCGCTCCTTGATGAGAACCTAGAAGGAAGGCGTTGCTTCTCAGAGCTTCTGGTTTCCCCTTGAGTCTCTTTCTCATCAGTATATTTTCATGTTATGCTCTAATATCTTGGGAACTAACATGACACGAAACACACTCTGTTCAAATTTAAATGCAGACTCTGAAGCCTTATATATGTATACTGCCCTTTGTCTATCCGCTATTTGGGATGATCTGATCTTTGCCTAGTTGACTATTATTACCTGATAATAAAGAGGAGAGAGTTGTCTCTTTCTGAGTTGATGGGCCAAAATGCAGTAGTTATAAGAATGCATCTCATTTTTCTTCTCCTGCTAGTAGTTTTATGACTCAGCGGTACCCTCCACACACAAACTCAAGCCAGTTGTTTTACTCAGAAGGGTTTGAGGCTATATAGTTTCTCGTCTGTCTGTGGCATCATTTCTCACAAAGTGGTGCTTCTAGCCGCTGTTTATAGGTAGAGGTCTTGTGAGCTCAACCTAGGCAGAGCTCTGAGCCTGGAAGGCAGAATTCTCTATATTAAGAGAACAACTCGGTCAAACCCTCTTAGAGGAAAATGCTTCATCGTGACGTTTTTAGTATGTCTTCACTGTGTTACGATCCTACTTTACTTCATATCTTATTTGTGAATGGAAAGAAAACAACTAGGAGTCCTTAAACCTGGGTTCTTGACCCAAATCTATTGCCTTGGGCAAGTCATTGCCCTCTCCAGGGCTTAGTTTCATCGTATGAAAAAATAAGGCTCTTCTAGCTCTGACGTTCCAGGGTTCTAATTCTGTCCTTATCTCCATATTAAAATCCTGAGTCATTTTCTCTTTCACCTGTGCGGCACACTGTCCAGGTAACAGAGCCTGAATGGGTGTTTCTGTAAGGAAGTTTTATTTAAGGCTAAGACAGAAACCATCACAAAAGATAAAGGCAGGCAAATGCGGTTGTCTAATTGGGCCTTTTGTAATTGTGTCCAAGACTTTCCCCTGTTTAAATGTGGATTAACTATTGGCTGGTGTTCCCTTGGTACCTGGAAATATTATCTGAGACTTTATAGAGCAACCAAATGGAGTAGTAAGGGATCATTGAAGATTTCTTTAATCAAAAATGAAGACTGGGGCACCTGGGTGGCTCATCAGTTAAGCATCCGACTCTTGATTTCGGGTCAGGTCATGATCTCAGGGTCCTAGGATTGAAGCCCATCTTGGGCTCTGTGCTCAGCATGGAGTCTGCCTGAGATTCTGTCTCTCCTTCTCCCGCTCCCTGCACTCGTGTGTTCTCTCCACATAGATAGATAGATAGATAGATAGATAGATAGATAAAATCTTTTTTTTTTTAAACAAAGACAGAATGGGAGGAGCTGCTTTTGCCCTTTAGAAGTTTCCATCTAAGTTTTTATGTTATTCTGATTTGTGCACAAAAATACATCTTAATAATAACCCTATTCCCACACATTGGAAAGCCATTCAGAGCTCCCACCTAAATGAAAATTTAATAAAGGCTGAAGCAAGAGGAGTGAAAGTGTAATAGAAAATATGATGTATTACATGCTTGGCCTAAAGTCATTTCCAAGCAACTGTAGATCACAAAGATTTTCTAATCTGAATTCTGCACTTTACCAATCGGGAAATCAAGGCTCAGAGAATTTTACTGGCTCTCAAAGGCCTGTTTTTCATCAATAGCAAAATCTCCAAGCAGCAAATGACTCAAGAATAAGAGATATCAATTTCCAGTTTTCCCATGGTCCATTTAATATCAGCTGACCCCCACTGTTTAACAGTTCAGCCATGGCCCTGCTTTGTTTATGGAACTATTGGCTAGATTTTGGCTCTACTAAAAAATCCAGTTCTGATAATTGCATGTGATGTGGTTTTATGATTTAGTATCACCAAGCCTTTGGCTTCAGATACAGATCACGAAAATAATTCTGGTGTAAATCAAGTAGTATTAATTCTTTTCACTGCTCAGATTTAAAGATCTCTAATATTTCTGGTGTTTAGCACTTCTATCAAATGCCAGTGTTAATTTTGGTGGAAATAGGATGGGACCAGAGTCAGAAACTGGACTTTATCAAATCACTCACAGGTGATTAGTTCCTGAGGATCATCAATTTAAAACATGAACAATTCATAGAAAATCTAAATATCAGTGTCATAAGCCAAAGAATTGAGCCAATGATCCCCTTCATCTGCTCCAACTAGAAAATGTGAACAAAGAATTAGAGAGGAAACTGGCTTCTATCAGATTTTCCACATCTGGCTGGTTTTACCAGCAAAGTCTCCTCCTAAAATCCACACTCTGCTTCTACAGTCCAGAAATGTTTCTGCCAAGTAGCAAAGAATAGGATGCGAGTCCACAATGGGAGATGGTAGCTCCTTATTATTGTTATTTTTCTTAGGTCTTTTGTCCACTGAACTATCGATTGTTGATCTTGCGCAGTATTTCACCACATGTCATGGGTTGACAGCTAGGATGTGCCTTAACCTCATCCACAACACATTTCCTGGATATACATTGTGTTTAAAAAGTGATTCCATGTGTCCCAGTCCTGAACTGTGTCGTTTCACACGTGAGATCGTACAGTCCCCTCCGTTTCTACTCCTCGGACTTACCTGTGGCTGTTGTTGAACTGTCGTTGAAGTATAACGTAAATACAGAAAGAAGCCCAAAGTGTAAGTATATGTCTTGATGCATTTTCACCAAATAAACGAGTCCAGGTAACCAGCATCCAGACCAAGAAACAAATGTTACCAGTCCTCCCCCAGAAGCCCTGCTTCTTTTCCCCTTCCAGTCAATACCAAGACCTCCGCTCCACCAAGGAAAACCATTATCTTGACTCTAAAGCTTAACTTCTGTTTGCTTCTTTCTGAACTTACTAAGTGGACTCTTACAGTACTCTCGTGCCGGTAGTATCTGGCTTATATTATGTGACTGTCTTTTTGTGGGGTCAGTGTATGATGTTGCCCGTAGCTGTGGCCCACTCATCCTCATTGCTGTGCAGTGTTCAGTTGGGGGAGCGTATCTGTTCTGTTGCTGGGCATGTGGGTGTTTTCCAGTTTGCAGTTATTATAAGTAGTGCTGCTGTGAACATTATTCTGTGTGTCTGTTGGTGAGCTTGAGGCCACGCTTGGTGGTGGTGTTTTTTTACCCTTAAGAGCAGAACCGAGGATTCACATGTGCAACTTTAGCAGGCACTGCCAAATAGTGGTCCAGCGTGCTCCACTCTAAGCAGCAGTGAAGGAGATTTCCAGTCCTTCCGCATTCTCGCTGACCCTTGACACCATCTGTTGTCTCATGTTAGCCATTGCGGTGGGCGCATCTAGTAGGAACACCTATCGTTTGATCCTCAGTCTTTCTGGTGTAAAATAACATCTGTGTTCCCTTTCATTTTGGGTGGTCATCTTCTATGAAATGCCAGTTTTAAAACTCCTTTTGATATGGCAGCTAACGATAGGCAAATGCCATGTGCTTTTCAATATTGTGTTATTAGGAAGAAATAGAAAAGATTCTTATTGCTGTTCATAGAAAATAGGTCCCCAAGATATTTCTGCCCAATGAGAGTGACCTATCCTGGCAGGCGAAGTTCTTCCAAAGATCACTTACTGTTGACCACTTTGAGAAAGGCAGATAGAAAAGGTTACAAAGGAATAATCCATTTGTGCGTAACCCACAGTTGTCTTCAGAGCGGAAGGCCCAGCAGGCCCCTAATACCATTTGCTCTTCCTTACCTCTGTAACTCTTGCCTTATGTGTCCAGGGGAAATAAAATGCAGAAGACAGACCACAAACTTGAAACAAAGAGGAAATACAGAAAGAAGAGATTTAAGTAATCTCTGTTGGCATTTAAGTAAAGAAGGGAAATGCATGCATACCTATACACTTGGCATACACATTTATGTTTGAAATAATCTCTCACTTCACACATACTAATGGAATATTTCCATTATGTCAGGCACTGAGGTAGTTTCCAGGGATCCAGAAACACCTACTGTACTCTCAGGGGGCTTATAGTCTTGAAGAAGAGACAGATGTGCCAACAGATAGTTACTGTAGAGTATAAAATGTGTCATCTGCTGGGTCTGCTGTAATAAAATACCATACACAAGCACCTTATAAACAACAGAGATTTATTTGTCATAGTCCTGGAGGCTGGGAAGGCCAAGAGCAAGGAACTGATAGATTCGGTGTCCGGTGAGGGCCCTTTCCTGGTTCACAGGCAGCCATTTTCTTGCTGTCCTCACATGACAGGAGGGGCCAGGGGACCTCCTGGGATCTCTTTTACAAGGGCACTACTCGTGTTCGTGGGGGCTCCACCCCCATGACCTTACCACCTCCCAAAGCCCCAGTGCCCGATAACATCACATGGGGCACTAGGTTGGAGGGGACAAGCACATTCCATCGCTAGCAAAGCATGTGTGGGGTTACGCAGTGTACACAGGTTGCAGTAGGTGACACAGAGGTGTGTGAGCAGGTCTCTCAGAGTGGGGAAGGAGTGTTGGAAGAAGGCTGCATGGGGGAGGTGGCTCCTCTGCCAAACCAAGGAGCAGAGAGGAGGCCGTTCCAGGCTATAGGGAACTAGGCAAAGAGGGATGAGACACCCTGGTTTTTCTCTGGAGCCTGAGGTCTGACAGGAAGAAGAGGTAGCAAGTGATGACGGGCTTCTAGTACAACACCAGGGGGTTCCCCTGGTTCCTCCCCACTGCCTGTGGACACAGTCCCTTCTACATCTGTGAGTGCTCTGCCGGATCTCAGGGCACTGGAGAGGAGACCATCCGTGCAGTCTATTGGCAGGTGTTTCTTGAAAACTACGGTTTGCCAGAATCTTGTCCTTAAAAACAAAAACAACTTCATGGAGGAGAAAGACCTGTAAAACAAAAGTAATAAAAACTGATCACAGAGCTGCACAGTTTAAGGATTATCATAGAAATACATGCTTTCTTCTTCCCTGGATCTGGAAAATTGTAAATCACTTTGAATAGTTTAAACAGGGAACCAATCATGGTCATAGCTTTGATTGAGGAAAAGCAATATGACGATGGAGTGATTTCCAAAGATCTGCCGCTGAAGTAGATATTTTAAACGTTCTCTGACTAAATACTACCACCCGTTTACATGAGTTTTGTAAGAACGGGGAGAGTGGAGCTGAATCATCTGGATTTCCCTCAGGCCCAGAGCATGCTTGAGCCTCTGCTAGCCTGACTATAGCGGAGGCAGCTTCTTAGCTCTGATGCTCTTGTTTTCAGGTAAGCAAGAACGAGCGTCAGGTAATGAAGCCACTGTACGACAGATACCGGCTGGTCAAGCAGATCCTGTCCCGAGCCAACACCATCCCCATCATTGTGAGTACGGCACCTTTCTGTGCTTGACCGCCTGTGGGGTGGGCCCTGGCTGTGGTGAGAGGGCCCCACCCTGCCTTCTCACTGAGGAGTGGGCTTTAATAGTTGAACCTGGCATGAATACTTACCGCCCATCCGCTTGGGGCATGAAGAATGTATCTAAGACTTCTGAGACTACGTTTGCCCAAATGAGCAAATCTGAAGCTGCTAGAATTTTGTTTTCTTCCGGGCGGCATGCTTTGACATAGCCATCCGTCTGACTGGTGCCGGGCTGACTCCCCACCCTTCCCTCAGAGACAGAGCGCCAGCAGGACGGGGCTGTGCTTTCCCCAGGCCCCTCTAGTCCAGAGGCCTCTCCGGTCCCAAATCTTCTCTCTCCTTCCAAGAGAGGGATAGTGCCACTGGGAATCCTCTCCAGGGAGAAATCCTAAGGACCTCCAGAGAGCAGACTCTTTGGGGAGGCTCTAGAGAAGCTGAGGTGGAACTAAAGGGAGGGAGGCTAGTACCTAGGCGGCTGTTGTCACCGGCCACCATCCTCTGACTGACATGCAACTGCTTTTGGCCTCTGAATTTTGATTTTGTCCAGAGTAGGAACAGCATCTTGTCTTCAGGCACTGGCCAGCTTGCCCTCCTTCCGTATTTATTCCAGTATCCCCCCCCATATTTCCACCCAGCTTGTGAGTGAACCTTACTGCCCTGTCCATCTCCTGGGGCATCCTTTGCCTCTGGCCCAGTGCTCTCCTCTGGGAGTACAGGGGGCTTTCTCTGCTGACTTTTAAACTTTCTAGTAAGCAGCCACAGCCTTGCTTTTATGTTGTTATTAAAATGGAGGCCATCTTAGCGGCTGCTCTTCAGTTCCTGCTTTAAATCTCCTTGTTTCTTTCTTTTTTTTTTTTTTTTAAGATTTTCTTTTTGGGGCGCCTGGGTGGCTCAGTCAGTTAAGTGTCTGCCTTTGGCTTAGGTTATGATCCCAGAGTTCTGGGATTGAGCCCCATGTCAGGCTCCACGCTCAGTGGGAAGCCTGCTTCTCCCTCTCCCTCTGCAGCTCCCTCTGCTATTCCCTCTGCTTGTGCATGTACATGTTCTCTCTCTCTCTCTCAAATATATAAATAAAATCCTAAAAAAAAAGGAAAAAAAAGATTTTCTTTTTAAGCAATCTCTACGCCTAACGTGGGGCTCAAACTCACAACCCTGAGATCAAGAGCCACATGCTCCACCTACTGAGCCAACCAGGCACCCCTCCTTGTTTATTTCTAAGATAAGATCTTTGTATTACTTTTAACAGTGTATCTGTCCCTAGGCATGAGGGAGGATCCAGACTTCAGGCAGGTGTGTTACAAGAAAGCGACTTCTTTAGAAATTCTTCCCAGAATAAATTAGTGAACTAACCAACGAAAGGATTCGATCTAAGGACTCCTTTCCTTGTCCAGTCAGGAGCCCTGTGTGCCCTCAGCAGGTGTCTCTCAATAAGGAGAATGCACAGCAGGGAAGCTGTACAACATCTGAATCCCCTCAGCAGCCTGTGTTGTGCTCGAAGCTTCTAACGGTGTCTGGGTTCTCATTCCTCTGTCATCAGGGAGGAGAGGGGAGGAGGAGCAGGCCAGCGTCTCTCCTCAGGCTCCTTCTGTGTTCAGTTAGCATGCGTGTGGGCTAGTCTTGCTGTCCTGTGGCCTCCTTGGCTTGGGGCTGTGGGCTCTGGAATGAAGCGGCGCCTCAGACAAGAATTTTGGTCGTCTCGGGTTTTCCTGGGACTGTTCGGCGGGCAGGGGTTAGGGTGTATAGTTCAAAGTCAGTGATGAATCCTAGTGACCCAGAGGAGGCAGAGGCCTGGAGGGCAAGGGAGAGGGGTTCAAAGTATAACCACCTTGTCCACACCTGTCGCAGGGATCCCCCTCCAGCAAGCGGAGAAGCCCTTTGCTGCAGCCAATTATCGAGGGCGAAACGGCTTCCTTCTTCAAGGAGATAAAGGTGAAGACATCTCCCAAACTGGCTTCCATTCTCTCCCTGCTTCCCCTCCTCCTGTGGATGTGGATGAGGGGGAGGGTGGGGCGCAGCGGCGATGGGGCCCGCGGTGCTTGTGCTGTGCCTTCAAAATCATCAGCTGCTCGTAACTAACCACCAGCAGCCACCCCCCTTACTGATCCTAAGGCCAAGCTGATCTCCTTAGTTTCATCTCATCTCCCTGCTTTTTTGTACCTTGCTGTCATTTGTTTTGTTCTCATTTTGCTTTCAGGGATGGGGGGCGGGGTCCACAATATTTTTTGGTTTGTTTTCCTCTATTTGGAATGGATTTTCTGTATTCCAGAAGCTTTTTCAATGAACTCATTGGGTAGCCTTCCTAAAAATCGTATTTACTGAGTTTCTAGAAAACCTAGAATTAACAAAGGCAATCTAGGTAGCACACGACAAAACTATCATTTCGTGGACGGGTATCTTCCTTGCCTTTGCCCGATTTCCTGGTGCCGTCTCACCCACTCCTCCTGCCTTTTGCCTGGCCCCTGGCACATGTAGTCCTCGGGATTCAGTTGATAATCTCCTGATCTGTGAATGCAGTGCCATCGCCAGCAGCCACTGGAATCTGTGCTCTGGTGTTTTTTACCCCAGGAGTAATTATGGGTTCTATACAGGTAATCCTCGTCCTCAGTGGCCCCTTTAGCTAGAACGGGAAGTAGACTCCGTGCCCCCAGGTCTCTGCCTGTGTCTCTGTCAGGACCTACCTGGCCTGGACCACAATCATCGTCTTTTGCAGTTTTGTTTCTAGGTGACTTAACGTACTGGACTGCCTTCCATAGTGCTCTAGAAATGAAAAACCAGATTCTTTTTTTTTTTTTTTAATCAGTGATTGTTTGTTAGCAATTGGAGTTTCACTTGTCATATTTCTGGGAAAGTCCTAAGCCTGGGGTGGTCATTTATCTACTGTAATTAGAAATAGTATCCCAGAACCCAAGGGCCTCATTCCCACAAGGGACACCAGTTGAGAACCACTCCATTGTCCTGCCTGGTCCTCATCATTATGACTGAGGTAAGGTACCAGAAGCTGCACAGTCTTTGATCTTATTTATTTATTTCCCTTTTCTTTGTTCTTAGGGGCCTTCAGTATTTCATATACCTAATTATAAGGTATTAGGCAATGATTACACTCACTATTCATATTCTTTTACCTAGAATTCATTCTATAAAAATGCTCTAAACAAAACAATTAGGCAAATATGCGCTATTATATTTTTTAAATTGGAGCTATTTTCTTATAATAAGACTTGATGTTGATGAAAGAAGAAAAATTTTGTCTGGCTGGTAATTTCACATGAGAATGAAGTCACCGTAATTGAAGAAATTTGGGCAATTTTGTGTATTGAAAATGAGCAATAGAACTGTTACTAGATAAAAATGTGTTCTTTCACACATCCAAAATATGATATTTAATAAATAATTGTCTCATTAAATGAATGGAAGATATATTAATGATGCACTTTTTAAAAAAGGGCATTCTTCCAAATCTTCTTGTTCAGCTCAGTTTATTTTTTTCACAAGTATATTTTGGCCATGGCTCTTCTTCTGGCCCACGTGGTGGTCAAAATTTCAGATAATTTTGCAATGCTTACCATTGCTTTTGTAAATAGTGTTGTCTTTTAGTTCATTTTGTTCCAACTGGCCAGGCTTATTAGCATGTGTTTGGACTGTACTAAGTCTTGGCAATTCTGAGACAATTTAGAATTTGATGTGGGTTCAGATCAGAAGATTGTATCAAGGTGGTTTCCTTAAAAGCCACCCCTGGTTTTAAATGCTTATGGTAGGAAAACAGATGTGTGTGAAGTAGAACCAGCCCAGTTTCTGAAGCCCTAGATCTTCCTAGATCCTAGAGATAGTCCAGTCAATTCTCCTATCCAAAATAAGAATTTCCTTTAAAACTTACCTGACAGAATAGAGACACAATCTCTAAGAAGTGATTCTGTCCTCAAGCTTGGAAAATTTACGGCAATGGAGAAGGGCACTCATTCCATGGGGCTAAGCATCAATAGTAACAAAAACTTATTTTATATTATATTATTAGTTGTATCATTATCAATATTAGAATACTAAGAGTCAATAATAATTATATGACATGCAGTTTCAGAATGTGTAAGTTTGATAAGTATAAAGATAATTTAAAATTACAATATTCGTAGTTATTATTAATGTATTGCTTTCTACGTAATAGGCTGAGTGTTGCCTGTTGGAACAAGATGGGAGTGAGTGTAACTACTGCTCCCTTGAGAGCCCTCCATACCTTTACCATGGTTTACCATCACCTGTCCTATCCACTCTCACCCACCCACAGCCTGTGGACGTTTTTTCTCCAAGTTCTTCTTACTATTCCTCATACGATATTTGTCCCAGACCTTCCAGCAATCTCTTGGTTCTGCTCTAATCACACCAGTTTATCTCTGTCCCTCTGATACACTGATAGCCAGAACTGAACAGTGCTTTAGATAGGACTTCACCAGCGAGATAGATAGTGGACCAAGGACTAGTCCTGATCTTTACCTGGATGGTTGGGGCCCTTTGTTTGACTAGTCTAGGCCTACGTGACTCTCAATGTGTTGTGAGTTCGTCGGTCTCTTTCTAGGGCAGCATGCATCCAGCTTCCGCACTGTAGACATTTTGGGGCCAGATAGCTTGCTGTCGTTGGGGGCTGGCCTCCGGCCACTAGATGCCAGTAGTGCCCAACAACCACCCCCTTCCCAGTTGTGACCAAAACTGTCTCCAGACCTTGCCAAAGGTCCACTAGGGTCAAAATCACCCCCAGGTGAGAACCACTGCCCATGGCCCCGTTTCACTGCTGATTGATACAATCCCTCGCTTCCCGGTTTGCTTGTCATCTATGTCCAACTTTTTTTTCTAACCTAAATTGTAGGACCTGGAGTTTTTTTGCCACATTTCTATTCCAGCCCCATGAAATTGATTAAATCTAGATTTTGTATTCCAACATGCCAAATATCCATCCCTTCTTTGTATTATCTATGCATTTTGTGAATATGCCTTTTGGGTCTTTTACCCAAGTGATTGATGAATATTGAGTAAGGCTGGGTCAGGTCAAGAACCTGCTATAGACTTCCCTTCAGATTCACATCACCATTGCATCATCACTCTGTACAGATTTTCACAATCAGCTTTCTTTTTTTGTTTGTTTGTCTGAAAATTTTATTTTTTAAGTAATCTCTACACCAAACATGGAGCTTGAACTCACAACTCCGAGACCAAAAGTCATATGTTCCACCAACTAAGCCAGCCAGGTACCCCATCAGTGTCCTTTCATAGATCAATTCACCTCATTAATTATTGAATTCCAGGTATTATGCCATTCCTATCAAAAAAGGAAAAATGGTTAGTTTCCATCATTTGTTTTAAGGGAGCCATTGCTAGTCACTGTCGATCACGGACTCTTTTTTAGTTGTTCATATATTATCTATGTGTTCATTCCTTCTAGGATCTACGCAATAGCCACAACAACTAGATGGTCATATAATTTCAAGATATAGTTTGTCATTTCTTTTTTTTCCTATGATTTTTTGCAGCTTGATGAGAATAGTTTTGTTAAGCCTCATCTTTGAATACATGATTTTCCACCGTAGGCAAGACACATTCTCAAGTTTTTAAGCTCTCTTAAAACTTTGGGATATAGGGGCGCCTGGGTGGCTCAGTGGGTTAAGCCTCTGCCTTTGGCTCAGGTCATGATCCCAGGGTCCTGGGACCGAGCCCCGCATCAGGCTCTCTGCTCAGCAGGGAGCCTGCTTCCCTTCCTCTCTCTCTGCCTGCCTCTCTGCCTACTTGTGATCTTTGTCTGTCAAATAAATAAATAAAACCTTTTAAAAAAAAAAAAAACTTTGGAATATAACTGATTAGGCCAGACACCTGACTTTATTTCTTATCTGTCTTGGACTGTAATACTTTCTTCCAGTAATTTGTATTTTTCTTTTAAAACTGGATTACTGGACTATTTGACAGACATTAATTAAGCACTTACCACATGCAGGCATTGGCTAAGCTCTAAGCAGTGAATAGACCCAAATCCCTGCCTCCGCGGAGTTTAGGGCCAGGTGGTTCCACCTGGCCTTCCTCATCCAGGGAGGGGGGAGTGCAGGGGGCGCGGCGCTGTCAGACGGTTGATCTGGAGGCTCTGGACCAGGTGTGCCTTGTCAGGTACATACCTTATCTCAAGCAATCCTTCTAAAAATTATAGAGGGTGGGAATTGTTACTTCCTTTTACAAAAAAAAAAAAAAAAAAAGAGAGAGAGAAACTTTTAAATTACTAATTTTAAAAGTCACTTTTATTCTATACCTTTAAAAATGTCTTTAATAGTTTCAGTTTTTAAAAATTAACCATGAGGCATTTACTCCAACTGAAGAGATGAGAGATCTGAAGTCACAGCAGAGAGAATCTGGAAAAGCTCCCTAGTTTTTACCAATTTTATCTTCATGCCTTCAGAGCAGTACTTTCGTCATAGTTTTGTACTGGTCCTTTTTTTGCTTTGTTTTTCCTGTCTTGTTTGTTTATTCACATGATTTCTCATCAGAGGCACCATTGCAAACATGGCAACTTTATAGTAAGAAAACCCACCACAGGCAGTTTGCATACTTGTACCTTGACTACCAATGGAACGGCACCTGCTTCCTGAGATTAATTTGTTGCATTGGTGCTGGAGCCACTTGGCTTCACTGGAACAATTGATATTATACTTGCTATTGTTCATGTAGCTGTGCCCCGAACCACTTTTTAAATTTTCCAGTTATTAGGATATTCTCATCTGCTCTGACTATATATTTTGGCAGTAAATTGCTTCTTTTAAAATCTTCCATTCAGACTGATATGATTTCATCCTTAGACTTAAATTGGCACTAAGAAACTCTAATTTGGCTTGATTGTTTTTTTGAGTTCCATTGCCAAGATAGAGAATATCATACTTTTCTTAGAATCTTGGATGCTGGAAAATACAGCTGTGGCCCTTGGATGTTCCTTGAAAAAAGAAAAACTTAAGCGTGTTCGGATTCCAATCATGAGAACATAAATGTTTTGATCTCAAAACTTTCCTAAAACTCTATGCATCAGAAACCACAAAATATTTTATAATCAGAACTCTTAAATAGAAACATTATATTGTTCCATTTTTGTAGGTGTTGATAGCTTAATAAAAAATGTTATCCAAGGCCCACAACTAATGGAATCCCTAAAGCACTGATGGCTGGTGGTGGATTTTGTTATGTATTATCCCAGAGCCGTGGATTTTGAGATTCAGTTGATTTAGGGTATAAATTATAATGGTTGTTCCTTCATACCCTCAGTCTTGACAGCTTCTCATTGTGCTATATACCAATTTTTTCTATAGTGTTAGAGTTTTTTCCCCTACTGAGTAACTGTGTTTAGTGTTGGTGTTACTTACTGTGTTCATGTAGACTTTCAGCTATAGATGGGTATAATGTATGTATGTGTTGCTAAGTGTAGATACAGAAGAAACTGTATGGTGTCGGATAATTAAGTGACCGTTACATGATACTTACAATGCAGGAGTGCCAGGAAAAGTAACCGGGTTTTTATCGGGGTTGCTGTGCATCTCCAGGAAGAAGATGAGTGTTCGGAGGATGATAGTAACACGAAGCCAGACTTCACGGTCACTCTGAAGACTGATTTCAGTGCACGCTGCTTCCTGGACCAATTTGAAGATGATGCTGATGGGTTTATTTCCCCAATGGATGATAAAATACCATCGAAGTGCAGCCAGGACACCGGGCTTTCAAATCTCCATGCTGCTTCAATGTAGGTCCTGTCGGCAATGCTGTTGAAATGTTGGGGTGAAAATACCATTCTTAAATATTTTAGCCTTTCTATTTAAATAAGTTGTCTGACAAAACACAAATGATTTACGTGGGGGACATCCGCATGGTTAGAACAGTGACTCTTTTTTAGCTTCAGACTCCGTGTTCTCTGTTCTCCATCCCCTGTCCCTGGAGGGAGCGCTGAGATCTCGCATGAGCAGCCAGGTCTCCCGATGGCACTGCACGCTTCTGTATTCCACAGCTCTTCATTTAACACGTACCAAGAGCTGATGTCATCTTTCTTTCAAAGCAAAATACAATAAAGTGCCATGGGAGTCCACAAGCCCTAAGGATTCATAAGCGGCAGGGACTGGGCGGGAGCCCCAGGAGCCATACCTGTCGTCAGGACGTTGGGCGTGCAGAGGATGGAAGACCTCCGTTTCTGCTGTCCCTCAGCTCCCCAACAGTTCTTGCATTTACATCCTCCCCCCGGTCTCCACAGCCCCTATCGAGTTACACATTCATTGTATTTATAACAATTCAGATTTAACCCAGTTTTCTTAAAATTTTCTGTCCTTCTCAGACCAGAACTTTTGGAACACCTTCAGGAAATGAGAGAAGAAAAGAAAAGGATTCGAAAGAAACTCCGTGATTTTGAAGACACTTTTTTCAGACAAAATGGAAGGTAGCGCCTGTTTCCTCTCCCCTAACTCCTGCTCCTCTGCACACACACCCCTCCTTTCTTCCTGTCATATCTCTGCAGTGTCTCCCAAGTGGGAAAGCCTCTGCATCCTGCCTGTAGCCTAGTCCCTCGCTGTGGGAGGGAGAGGGCCGTGTGGTCCTTCAGCAAGAAATGCTCCTGGGTTAGTCTCCAAGACTGATGTAAATTCAGCGAACATTTACACAACCAACCTGTCATCTCAAATTCTAATCTCAAATGAGCAACTTGAAGCTACGTTTCCAATTGATAGCATTGCTTTTTGGTTTTGGTTTGGGGAGGGGAGGTGTTGTCTTAATAGGCTAAAAGGAGAAATAAGGAAAGGGCAACTTTTTAGGCTTATTTTAAAAGCAAAGGTGATCATTGGGTTTGAATGAAAAACGTGCAAGAAGCAGTAAGTCCCCGAGACTGACAGGGTGCCTTTCCTGAGTGAGTTTCAAGACATGAGGTAATCAGCCTTGTAGAACATCATCCTAAGGAATAGCACACCTGTTTGCAAGCGACCGCACACAGTGCATACCAGTTCACATCATGAGACAAGGGTAGGGCAGGGAAGAGATTTGCGTCTCTTACATTAAGTTTTAATACCTTAAGATGATTTCATTTTAATCCAAACTATTTAAATGGTGTAAATATAGTTTCTCTTTAAAAGATCCCCTTTCATGCTTCTCAAAAGTATTGTGGGAAAAACCCACCATAAACATTAACTTCACCATTGAAAATGTGTTGTATTCCAGTTTATTTCAATTATTACATATATTTATTTTTTAGCATCCCTAATTTGGATCATATGGTGACTTTCTTAAGATTTATGAATTTTTATGCCTACATATTTGCTTTTCTTTCCCCATGCATTGTAGGCTATTTAGAAAATATCGATAGGCAGACAAAAGAAATAATATGCAAAAAAAGAAGAAGAAACCAAAGACAAACCAGGATTAATGTTTGTTCCATCCCATTCTTCTTTCTAAACATATTCTTGGTTTGTCTTTTTTCCATGAAATTGCAGTTGCTTTATGCACAGCTATCTTGTACATGAGGAACTATATAAAATGATGTATAAACGTCACAAGTTTTAAGAAAGGATAGCTGATGGGAATTTATAATCATCATGCAAGGTAGGGGTTTTATTTTAAGTTTTTATTTATTTAAGTAATCTCTACACGCAACATGGGGCTCAAACTCATGACCCTGAGCTCAAAAATCACGTGCTCTTCCAACGGAGTCAGCCAGGTGTCTCATCATACAAGTTTGAAACTCTGACTTCAGTCCTCATTAAATCTGGTTCCCTTATTTCATATCTGAGGAGAGGGAAGTCCCTTGAAGAACAGGGTGAGGCCAACTATCAGATTGCTGTTCCCTTCACTGCCCTGTGCTGAGAAGCCATCTAGAACCCTTTACTTGAACAAGGCAGAGCATGAGTAAAATCAGTTTGTTTCTCAGTTCATTGAACCAAATTAAATAAGCCCCATGCTATCCCCTTTCCTGTATTTTCTCTTTAATAAGAAGAGAAGGAAGCCTGGTATTTGCATGTTTGACATCGCATTTCAAAGTGGAACAAGAAGTAGAATGGCACCACACAATTGTTGAGAATGTAGACAGTAGCACCTTTTCATCCCGACCTTGTAGGGGTCATACCAGACCATGGGGACAGAGTACTTAGCACAGTGCTTGACCTGCAGTAAGCTCTCAGTTAATATTTGCACATATTAAAAAGTATGCATATAAAATTACTCAGTCACCTATAAGGGCTTATTAGTATTATGTGACCCAATTGCTGAATTCCAAGACTAATTTTTATAATAAGTAGGATATTAACTATCTGTTTTTTAAGCCTATAAATTATGGGTATGCCAATTGCTAATTAGAAACTTAATGGTTCATTAAATGAAATACCTAAAAGTGAGAGGGCATTAAGTGTAAATAAAGGATTTCAGTCTACGGAGACTCCCAATGTGCATTCATACATACCAGCAGCAAGAGAGAAAAATTTTCTACAGTTTTTAGTCCTTCCCACCATTCTACAGGATGCCGGGTTAACTCAAAAGATTCATGTGCATGGTGCCTTCCGAGGGGAGCAATCTCTCACTGCTTGTGTAAACCCAGCTGCAGTCTTGATACCCAGGGACACTTGGGAACACCGATTCTACAGGTTGATAAACTGCAGATCCTACCTGACGATAAATCACCTGATGAACAGTAGATCTAGGAGGGACAGACAGTGATCCTCAGCCCCCTTTCCTTTGTTTCCACTAGAAATGTCCAGAAGGAAGACCGCACTCCCATGGCTGAAGAATACAGTGAGTATAAGCACATAAAGGCGAAACTAAGGCTCTTGGAGGTGCTCATCAGCAAGAGAGACACTGATTCCAAGTCCATGTGAGGGGACAGCCCCAGCCCGCGTGGAGGGGCTACAGGAGCAAGCTGAGCTTGGCGCCCGCCTCCCCTCGTCAACAGCAGCTCTGCACAAACTGGAAGGCAGCCTTGGAGCTGGACCTGTAAAGCATGTAGCCCTTTGGCCTCCAGGCCTTTGGGATCAGTCCGTTTTCGCTGCCAGCCTCAGAAACTGCCTGGATGGAAGAGGGCAGCCTGCCTGGATTTAAGAATTTTGTAAGGAAAAGTCAAGATCCCCCAGGTGCACAGAGACACGAGGGGAAGATTTCTAACACTGGCAGTGACGAATCACTCCGTGGAGACACACTCGTCTACAGAGAACGTGCACAGTTCTTCCCTGGATAACTGAGGAACATGTCTACTGTGATAACAAGAAACAAAGCCCAGCTCAGAACTCCACTCTGAAGAGCGAACTCGCCGTGCGTGTCCATGTCCTCTTTGCACCCGGTAAAGTGGGAACGTGCGTCGGAGCCCTATTTGCTGCCTTGGCCATTCTTGTGAGCTTCCCACAGAGCTGCACCTCTCCCCTTCGCACGACTTGTTCCCCTTGGGTTCTCAGGTAGACGGAAGCCGCGTCTGCCCGGTGCAGTCGCCTGTTGGACGGTGTGTTGCTTCAGGACTTCTTCAGCTGACGAAGAATTGTGATCCCTGAGTAGGACTGGATCATCTGCAGAGGACAGAGGGAATATAGCTATATATTCATGCTGATTTTTTAAATCAGGCAACAGGGTGAAGAGCCTCGAAAATTCCTTCCTGGACATAGATTGCACTTAATCAGTCTCAGATTTTCACATCCAACACTAAGCAAGGCCAGCATGCTACAGCATCCTCTTTGGGGCTTGTTTTCAATTTTGACTCTAGCCAAACCTAAAGGATCTTGCTTAATTCTTAGCTTAAGTATTGAGGATCATGAGAAAGAGAGAGAGTAAGAGCCTATGTTCTAAGCCTTCTGAGTTCTTATCAGAGTTTAATGTTTTTTTTTTTTTTTAAAGTAAACCTGCACTAAAATCCCCTCACCAAGGGGGTAAATGTAGCCCTCAGAACTCAGCCCAAGGCCGAATCTAAATCACACAATTTTCAAGATCATGTGTAAAGAGTAAAAGAATGGTGTGTGGTCACTTAGGATTATAATTGTTTCAGAGACTATGTCACAAAGCTGTCTATATTAGACATTTGGGGAAGACCAGGGAATTTAAAACACCGAATCCTTCATCTCTTCACTGTGCTGATGTCACCTTGTGATTTGCTGTTACCTTTTCACCTTCCATGTCTGCACCGAGGAAAGTGAATTCTGTCTCTGCCTGTCGGTCCAAGGCCTCCGTCTGCGCTCTGTGGGCTGGAGCACAGGTGTCCGCACACTAGCCGCCGGCTGCTGAGAGAAGGCACTTTGGCGGGATCACCTGTTGAAGATAATGTCACAGGGGGAGCAGGAGAGCAAGGCTGCTGCCCTCCTGTTGGCTTTGAGAGATACCTTCCTCAAGGGTACCATTGTGTTCGGTGTGGTAAGAAGAAGAAAATAAAAATGTAAAACTCTACTGACCCGTCGTCAGTTTCAAAATGGGTTCTTGAGAAACTGGTCAGATTGTAGTGATAGCACTGTTTTCCATTGCTGAAGTGAGGTAGAAGCTGTCAGTTGACAATTGTTCTAAGTCGGGAGTAGGGGGAAAAGAATACCTTTATGTTTGCTCTTAAAAATAATCATATAGAAGCATGAGCTGTGTGTTGGAAGTGCCCTGTGTCAATCCACACGTTTAAAGACGGTACATAATCTACAGATTTAAATGTACGTGAATCTATAGTTTGGTATTCTTTGCTCTACTGTTTACATTGCAGATCACTATAATTTCAAGGAGTTATATTATAAATAAAATTAAGCACTTTAGGACGTTTTCTATTTTTGAAATCTGAACATGAATCATTCACATGACCAAAAATTGTATTTTTTAAAAGAAATCCATGTCTAGTCTGTCCTTTTTGAGTAATTTTTCTCTTAAATAAGCTATAATACAAATCAAATCATTACCAGTTAACCTTTAAAGCACATCTGTTTAATAAGAGTATTGTTTTGAAAATACTAATACGCTGCAGAATTTTTAAACATGCTATATATAAATGAGGAGCTACTAAATGTTTGAAATCTATTGTTTCTGCCGAAGGTAAATTAAATAAAAGATTTATCCAGGACTCCCCATTCAAATTTGTATGATTAAATAAAAGAAAACACCAAGTTACAGTCAAATAAATTGTGTATGGAATATCATGTTCTCCTTTGTAATTTCTCCTCTCTATTAATTTCATAGACGGGCACCCAGATTAAGGGCGGAAAAACCCTATTTACACTCAATCCTATTTGAAGACATGGCGGTAGGTGACGGCTCTGCCAGAAATGCTGAGGCAAATTTGTTTCCACAGCAACCATTTCTGTAGCCCAGGGTCTCAAGGCTCTAGAGGCGTCGTCTTAATTGGCTTCATACAGAAGGCTCTGGACGGGGGTTTTTCCTTTGCTCTCTTAGGAATGTGTGTGTGTGTTTATTAGCACACGCCAACAAAAGAAATGTCAGGTGTTTTTTAATAACAACGATAAGTAAAGGGAAGCATGAATAAACTTGATTGTATGATTGTAAGAATTAGAAATAGCAGAGGCTTGTCATTTTCACAAGCATTTGCTTTCTGTGTGTTCAGGAGTAAACATTGAAATGGATGTTTATGTTCTGTCGGTATGGTATCATTACTGCATTTCATCTCTGAATCATTCGGTTTGAATTTGCTCTTCAGACATGTATGTGCAAGGTTTAGGAGAAGGGCCTGCTTAGAAGTTTTTCAGACGGCTGCTTTGTCTTGTGCTAGTAGAAGCAAGCTCACACAACCTCAGTGATCTCCCTGAATTCAGGGGAAATTTCCATAGAAGACCAAACCAAATTTCATACTGGAGAACTGATTTGTTTTTCTTTTAATTCCTAGCCATAATGCATGGAGAGCTAAAAATTAGATTTCTTCCCTCTAGTTGCCAGTTTGAAGTCAAATCTTACCACTCATCGTATAGGCAGGGATCAGCCACGTCTCTATTTGTAACATTAGTGTAATTCTTGCTTCGTCTCATTCTGATGCAATGCTTGCGTGGTAGCCGAAGAGGCTGTCCCAGGTTTGGCACTTCTAGCCCAGGACAAGTGTCACAAGGCTGTGCTAGACTCATAAATACTGCACTGAGCTGTCCTGAGGTGAGCAGTCTTAGAGCCCCCTGAGGGCTGAGCATTTGTGAATGTGGTTGAGCTTGGAATTCCTAAAAAGGTGACTACTTAGGTTTACCAAAGGGGCCGCCATGGTATCGATTACATTGGTTCTTTCTAGAACTTCCTATTTCTCAGCAGACGGAACTGGGCCCAGTATACAGAACTGGTCCAATTTACAAGGAAAATCAGATTTTAGTTTGTTGATTCACCTTTTCAAAGAGATTCTTAATCTGATCATGAAGATGCCACTTTTCTTAACCTTATTACTTTTGATGCCATAAACTATCAACTGCTTTATGAAACGTTGGCTGTAGTCTAAATTCTATCTTGCATTCGAGAAGGATCTTCCCAACGCACTGCTTCCTGGAGGGTTTTTTTCACCCCTCGGTGGGGAGAGATGGTTTCTGCACTAAGACCAACACCTCCTTTACATTCTTTTTCAGTATCCACTTGGGTACATCCAAAGGGAGAGAGGACACCGTACTAAAGTATGAAGCCTTTAGGTGCAGCAGAACTCACAAAGTGCTTTCTTTCCTTTTATTCCCTTCTTTTATTTTTCCTCTGCTTGACCCTCAAAATGACCTGAAGAGTACATTTTGCCGAAAGAGTAGCTAAACGTATTTTCAAACGTTTATTCAGATGGTGCATCCTAACACTTCACACGGTCAACGAGGCAAGCTCACAATGAGAGCGTGTGTGTGGCAGGTGCGGCCTCGTGGCATTGGCCCTTGGCGGAGTAGGACCGTGCATCTGCATTCCTCTGCTATATGATCCTTCATAATAGAAGTGTGGACATCAGCAGAGCTCAGTTACAGATCTACACAAACGTGTGTGTAAAATGAAATATGTCCAGCTCCAAGTCACTATGGCTGAGACGTCACAATTCCATCTCTGGAGATGCTTGTCTGCCCGGAATCCGCCCTGCACGTGGCTGGAGAAATCGGTGAGGCAGATCTGATTCTCAATCTGAAAGCACGTGTACGTGCTGTCACGAAAATCTCCAAGAGTAGATACAATCTTCGTTAATAATATGGGCCCAGAACAATGTTTACACGAAATGTGAGCAGAACGTGTTTGAAATTACAGTTGTCCTTTTTAAAAATGTAAACCGAATGAAAAATGTTGTGCACACTTTTGTACATGACTGTATTTTGTATAAACTTAAATAAAATATTTTTAACTGTGACTGTTCCGGAATTTTTGACAGAGTCGGGAACCTTTGAGCTGCCTGTGGGGTCTGACGTCTCCTTTGGGTAAGGAATCGTGGCTGTGCCGTGAGCCCCCCAGGAGCCTCATGAGGATTAAGTTTTATTCTGTCTCCAGAGAGGTCACTGGAAGGTGAAGCAAACTCATTACAAATTAAGTATGGTTGTGTTTCCAGGTAGAAAAATGGGTTTGTGCTCTAGGCTCAGCTGCCTTAAAACCAAACAATGCAAAGTAATCCATAGTGACAGAAAGTAGATGGTTGGTTTCGGGATGGAAGGATTAGAAAAAGGCACAAGGGAAGTGGATGCATACATTCACTGTTTAAATGGGCTGATGGGTTCACAGATGTATACATGTGTGAAAACTAATTAAATGCTTAAAAAATAAAATGAAAGGATTCTCAGAAAGGACTAAGGGGTCCAGAGACAAAGGCATTAAGCCAAAAACAAAACAAAACAAGAACAAAAAATCTTGCTTATTTCCAAAGTCTCTGAGACCATTATAGTAAATACATTAGCCGCTTAGGATTCTCAAGCTAATAAGGCCAGCAGAAAACTGTGACTCGGAAGATAAGGCACATCTCAGTCTGAAAGGAGCATCTCGCCCTCGGCTACCCCCTGCCACAGGCCAGGCCCTGCGCATGTGCGACAGGAACGATCTCCAGGGTAAGGGCGCCAGAAGCCCCGCCCCAGTTCGCAGCTCAGAACACACCCGTGACTGTGCGGCAGGCCGGTACTCTTTAAACTGTACATGTTATGTAGGCTCTAAGTGACAAAAGCGAACATTAAAAATATAGAACCTGAAATTTTTTAAAAAAGGAAAAAGAGAAAGTCTTTGAGAAATCCTAGTGCTGACACCAGAATTCAAGCAGAGATCTGTCTTCAGGGGAACAAAGACCCAGGACTGCTGACGATGGTGCAGTGTAATAGCATTCTGCCAAAACGGAGGCTCATTCTCAATAATTTCAACATTTGAAACACTGGGTCCAAAGTAGTGAAATGTAGGCGGAAGTGACAGGCAGCATTTAGTGATCCTCCCTCCATTTTCTTAAGTCATATTCTGATGTTGTCCCTATTAAGGACCAGAAAGCGATG